TTCAGACGCTCTTGTGTTGTGCCTTCATTCCAGTTGGATCAAGGCCAGTTGATTTGTAAAGCACATTTTGTCAAATGCCATCTTCAAAAATCATCAAGAACAACTAAACTGATCAATGTTCTAGTTGTTATTAATGACAGGCAGCTTTGAACAGGTGGGATTTTAGCCTTGCTGTTAAGAAGGTCAGTGTTTCGACACTGTTTTGCAGTTTTCTTGAAGTTTGTTCCAGATAAGTAGAGCACAGAAAATTACATCGTCACCTGCTTAAATAATGTTCAAAATCACTTCACATAATATGCATTTTCCAAAATCGCAGAAGAACGTTGCTGAATCGAGCCTAATTAACATAGACGAAGGATTACATTGGGTGTTTTCTGGCAACCACTCGACGGTGAGTCGTTTGTTTTACGTTTTGTTTTTTATAGTAGAAATGCACTGCCGACATGGCAACTTAAAATCTACTTATTGGCGTCTAAAAAATTCTCACTTTGTTAATTTTGTGGCGAAATAGAAGATATATCCTCAAAGTCTTTTGATTTTTGTAAATTTCTACTTTAAGGATCCTTTTAGTTACTTTTTATTGATTTTGTTGACAGCTTATGGAACTCTGGAATTGGTTCATTTGGAGTTGCACAACAAAATGAAAACCAAATTCATTGTTTATTGAAACAGATCTTAAGTCAATTAAACTTTGATACAACTTGAAATTGCACTTTAAAATCTGTAACTTTACTTTGATCTGTAATATTAATGTGATCTTTAACTTGAAATTTATTTGAATGATTCCCGACAAATACTTCATACAAATACTAACATACTGTTATCCAAAATAACTGAACATTCACACAAAAAAATAGTTAACAGTTTAACCCTGTTTAAATGCTAATTTTTGTTTTCTTCATCACCTCATGTAGGTCAGGTTTTTTTCAGGATGGCTGGATCAGCTCTGGATCATGGACTAAAAACAGTCGAATTATTGATTGATGGAACATCAATCACCTTGGAAACAAAAGAACGGACTTGAATAAGAGAAAAAAACTCTTGGGTGTTATCAGGGTTTGTTTTTGGGGCCTGCCCATAGCAATGCATAAGGAGAGCAGTGACTGACTTGCGAAGCAAGTCAGTCACTGCCTCCATGCATTGCATGGCAGGCACCTATTGTTCTTCACCTAATAGAATGCCTCTTTATTCTTATAACTTATTCTTCCGTAGACCGGAATGCGGGTCGCCACCGCTGCGAGCCCACCCACAAAAGTGGTATCAAAACGTGCGGCTCGTTCCCGGCATTGGAGCTATTACTTTTATGGGGAATCGGCGTTACGACGGCGACGTAAAAAGCAAAAAACGAGCAAAATTTCCAACTGCCGAACCGAAAAGCTCAACTGCCAAACCTAGAGTGTAACTGACGTTTCGTTAGAGTGTGGGAAGCAGTGCGATTCTGACCCCAAATAATTTTGAAATCGCCGCCACGCCCACAAATATCGTGCAATCGGTATGAAACTCGGACAACATCGATACGTATGTCTGCTCCGGTAAAATGTTTTCAAAATATTTCTAGGGCTTACGGTTTTCTGTCAAGGTGCTTTAGAGCAAAATCAAGTTCCAGCCTAACTGACGCTCTCCACCATATATTTTGATACTTTTGTGGAAAATTTCAGACCTCAGCACACACCATTTTTTTCTCATCGCTGTAATTACTGTGAATGAGCTACAGATATGATTTGCAGGACTACAGGAGACAAAAAATAGCTCTCTCATACGCTTCAAACGGTTTTCCGATACGTATCACGGTTCCCAAACGGCAAGGAGTTGTTCGGGCTGCTTTTCCATTATAACTGACTGAGCTGTCTCACAAAGATAGAAATCTGTCTCTGCCTCACACACATGACTGTTGACCTCTTTAGAACTACAATTCCTGAAGGTTAGAACTACAACATGGCGGAACACTCAGTGCCTACAAAAGAGGTCAGAGCTGATTGTCAGAACTACAACATGGCGGAACTGTCAGTTACTACTGAGGAGGAATGAGCTGGCCTTTAGAATTACATTGTGTTTGGGCTTTTTATCACTGATTTTAAGCAACCATTGTTACACACAGCATTTGTGTGGAAATTTTAAATTAAGCTTAATAAAAATTTCAAAATAAAACCTTGAATATTTCTCTGAGGCCTGTCAGAAAAACTAACTTCTTCAAGCATTTATAATTAAGTCTCTCCTTGTGTGTCACACTGACATGACAGTTGACCTCTTCTTTAGAACTACAATTCCTGAAGGTTAGAACTACAACATGGCGGAACACTCAGTGCCTACAAAAGAGGTCAGAGCTGATTATCAGAAATACAACATGGTGGAACTGTCAGTTACTACTGAGGAGGACTGAGCTGCTCTTTAGAACTACAATTCCTGAACTTTAGAACTACAACATGGCGGAACACTCAGTGCCTACAAAAGAGTTAGAGCTGATTGTCAGAACTACAACATGGTGGAACTGTCAGTTACTACTGAGGAGGAATGAGCTGGCCTTTAGAATTACATTGTGTTTGGGCTTTTATAACTGATTGTAAGCAACCACTGTTACAGACAGGATTAGTTTGGCAATTTTAAATTAAGCTTAATAAAAAATTCGAAATAAAACCTTGAATATTTCTCTCAGGCCTGTCAGAAAAACTAACTTCTTCAAGCACTTAGAATAAGTCTCTCCTTTTGTGTCACACTGACATGACAGTTGACCTCCTCTTTAGAACTACAATTCCTGAAGGTTAGAACTACAACATGGCGGAACACTCAGTGCCTACAGAAGAGGTCATAGGTGAATATAAAAACTACAACATGGTGGAACTGTCAGTTACTACTGAGGAGGACTGAGCTGCTCTTTAGAACTACAATGGCTGCAGGTTAGAACTACAACATGGCGGAACACTCAGTGCCTACAAAAGAGGTCAGAGCTGATTGTCAGAACTACAACATGGCGGAACTGTCAGTTACTACTGATGAGTAATCAGCTGGCCATGACAAGTACTTGGTTTTTGGGAATTTTAGAACTGATTTCAAAACTCCATACTTACACATGGGATTAGTGTTACCATTAAAATTAAGCTTAATGTAAATTTCAAAATAAAAGCCTTGACAATTTTTTCCATCAAGTAATTGCTCTTTTGACCACTATATAAACTGATTTAACCCAATCAGTGTTAAACATGGGATGAGATTGGCCATTTAAAATTAATCTCAATGAAAATTTCAAAATAAAAGCCTTAAGATTCCTTTCTGGCTCATGCCTATTTTAGGGAAAATGGCTGCCTCAAACTTATAGAATTAAGTCTCCCCCTGTCTGACTCACAGCTGGCAGAGGATCCATTACCATGGCAACGGAACACAAAGGGGCCAGCTGATTAGGACTACAAAAACGCATCACTGTAGTTCTAAGTATGGCAGAACTCAGAGAAAAAAGCTGGACTTTAGAGCTGCTTGTGTTTTGGGCCTTTTATAACTATTTTTAACCAACCATTGTTACACATGGAATTAGTGTGGAAATTTTAAATTAAGCTTTAAAAAATTTCAAAATAAAAGCCTTGAGAATTTTTAGATTAAATAAGTGCTCTTATGACCATTATATGTCTGATTTAACCAAATCACTGTTATACATGGGATTACATTGACCATTTAAAATTAAACATTCTGAACATTTCAAAATAAAAGCCTTAAGATTCGGCCGTGGCTAATGCAGCGCCGCAGGCGCTGCAATGATATTAGCTTGCATTATCTTTTCCTCTCAAGTTAGGACACTGTCTTGCACAGCAAGACAGTGCATTAGCATTAGCACAAACATTAGCATTTCTCTGTTTCCCACCAGTGCACTGCCGTAGGCAGTGCAATAAGATTATCCTGCATGATCCTTTCCACTCAGGTTAGGGCTCTGCCTTGCGCAGCAAGGCAGAGCATTAGCATTAGCCTTTTACCTTGCATGAGGTATTAGCTATTTCCCTTACTTATTACCCATATTTACTATACATGCTTGTGACTCTCCACATTGTATTGATGACATTGCAGCTTTCTTTAGCCTGGATGCTAATGTTTAGCATCAGAACGTTGGGTCCAAACCGACGGGCACACTTTGGCAGGCCCCGGTTAAATTTCTTCAGGAATTTTCTAGTTTTTTGTTATTGTTGTCTTCCTGTTGTGGTTTATTGTTTATACCTATAGGAAAATATACATATTATTAATAAATATATGCAAAAATGTAAGTTTGAATACCATAACTTCAACTTACTTTCTGTCTGATGGTGTTTTATTCACACACATGGGCTCCTCAGCCAAACCTTTCTGACTGGCTATTACCATATTTGGCCGTATGGCTACCTACCATTACCATCCTTCAATGGTCAATGATGAAAAGAAAGCAGCAAAAGTCTTCTCTGTCTTTCCACGGTTTCTGGACACAGCAGGACCGGTAGGCAGCTTTATCTCTTACACAACCAAAATATTCAGTGGCAACAGTCAAAGGAGTTTGTCTTGTGACGTGTATCACTAGGTTGAACCCCAAATCTTTCGAAATTGTTATGTCCTTGGGCAAGACACTTCACCTGCCTTACCTGCTGGTGGTGTTCAGAAGGCCTGGTGGCACAAGCACATGGCAGCATTGATAAGTCTTCCCTGGTACAATTGTGGCTACAATGTAGCTCACCACCATCAGCATGTGAATTACTAAATGTGGTGTAAATCACTTTGGGGTCCTCTGGACAACATAAAGCACAATACAAAATGAAATGCTTTTATTTATGCATTTCAGATAGAACAAGATTTTAGGCTCCTGTTTGGCGATGGCACTGCCAACCAATGTTTGGAGAAGTGGCCCACCAGTCTCAAATCCAAGGTTACAAAGGAAAGCAATGGCCTGGTACCCACCACAGAGCTCTTGGATTTACTGCAGAATGCAGAGTTTTCTGCTGAAGCTGAGAATGGTATGTTGGTCCTCTAGGTAATTGTGACAAATTCATACGTTAGTAGGATGATGGTAACCTGAAGCTGTTGGTCTGTAGGTTGGGATAGTGACGTTTGACATTTTGCTTTTCCTGAATCTGCTTCCACCATCTGCACAAGGACGAAAGAGGCTGAGTAAGATGTCTGCATCTCAAGCAGTGGGATGTTACTTATCGTGTGAACAAACAATCGCATATTATTTTAACCGTGTTTGTCAAATGGGAATGCTGCAAATGCGAAGTCCCCCCTCGACATTAACAAAATATTGACAAAGTTTTACATACATTTGTGATGGAAACACAGCTACTGAATGTATTTACATGGTTTCCTGGACAAAAGTTGACTTCAAACAGCAGCCATGATTTCCTTTCAGACATCCTCTTTCTCCCCTGCAATCTCAAGAGGTTTTCTGTTGCTCGGAAAGCCTCTTTAAAGTTGTTTGATGCTTTTGCAATAACTGACATGGACTCCAATCTTATGCAGGGAACCAAAATGTACGAAAACACAGTGTCAATATGTGGATGTCATGGACAACAAACAAGCGCTATTTGCAGTGTCTTTGTAGCCAAGGAACTGAAGAGCATGCCAGGCTATGTATAGGCTCAGCGTAGAGCGGATGGGAAGAGGGCTGATGGTTCGGGGCAGATGTACGATGAGTGATTGTGTACGTCTGAGGAACCGTCTGTCGCCGTGTGCGAGAGGGTCTGAAGAGGTGACCAGAAGGCGGGTGAGCGGAGGGCTGCGGGCGCCAGGCAGCGTTGGAAAAGCCATCTGCTACCTGACTGACAGCCAGCTTCAAACCTCCCACATCAGATGGGCAATCTTCTACCAGAATATGGTCTGATCATCATGTGTGAAAGTGCTGAAGCCAAATCTTTAAAAAGGTACAGTAGAACTGTCGCCATGCCTGAGGAGTAGTTTTAACAAACTTGCTCTTGGGAGAAAAAAAAAGAAAAAGAAAAAAATAAACCCACATCATAACTACACTAGGTGTGAGATAATTCATAGGTTAGTCAATAGCTAAAACAAAATAATCTGTGTGAAAACCTGCATTCTCTCTTACAAACAGCAGAGGGCAACACTTCTAGTATTAATCCAAAGTTTAAATGGGCAGCATTATGTATTATCCAGGCACATGGTGGCACAATCAACTATTACAATTAGTTGCTACAGAAATGCTGACTATATCAAATATGACTTGAGAGAAATTTGACTTCCTAATTTAATGTCTTGAAATTGGGTCTCTGTATCTTTAAGAACTCCAGCTCTTTCTGAAACTCCACCTCCACCATCACAACACGGCTCCTCATTTTCATCAGCAGTTCACTGAGAAGTAGCTCACATAATGATCTCGGCAGATGAGCTCATTATTAGGTGTTAGTAAACACCCTGTGGTGTTTACTAATTGCTGGTGACTAGTCTGAAGGAGCTGAGTAGGGTCAGGGGGGTGCTTTGGAGGAGTTGCATCTTGATGGCTTGGCCAGGTCCACCAAGGCATTTTGCTCAGCTGAATGATTACCATGCAGATTAAAGGATTTATCAAATATGCCTGAAAGGATCTTGGATTTCAAGATGGCCATGTTTTTGACTGGTATTTCACATTTTATGTGCAAGATCATAAAAAAAATTGAGATTATATATATATTTCATTTTACTACATGAAATCAATTTTGAATTTATGACTATTGATTTTATTTCCTGAACCAGAGGCATTACAAAATAATCCCAATTAGTTATTGCAGAAAAAATTCCAGTTCTTGCTCTATAGGTTTCATCTGCAAGTAATTTGACACTTTTAAAGATAAAATTCAGATTAGTTCAAAAGCAGGACGTCAAGTATAAGTTGAATAAAGTACATAGAAATATTAACATCCCCATCAAAAAAGGAGAAAAAACTGAAAAACCCAGGTTTTCATTTCATATCTAGAAGGGCCACCAGGGGGCGTGAGAGGCGACATCACAAATAGAGCTATAATGTTGCATGCAGTTACTGGAGCATCTGACAAGCAGTCAAAACTGTGAAGGTGAAGGTTGCAGAACACAAAGTAGCAGAAGCAACAGAGCAGATGTCTCCATACTTTGTCATATAGGACAAAATTATGAAATCAAAAATTACATGCAGATAAAAATAATAATAAAAGGGAAAAAAAAGAATGCTATAATAAAAAAAAGAGGAATTTTGATTGCTTATCGTTTGAAATTGGTTGCTTAATTTAGCCACGTGAAGAAAAATGTCCTAAAAACAGATTTGATTTCAACAAAGTCTGCTTTTGAGTAAACGTCACAAATGGACAAATGTGGCTATATTTACAATCAAATTGATGTGAGAACATTTCCTGGAGACCCAAATTCATATCATTCTTAAATTGTGGTTAGTGGACCGAACAATTATTTCAGAACCCTCAAATGTCATCCTGGACAATGTTGTAAGGCGTTGACAAAACGGCTGGATGGTTGCATTGTACAATCATGGGCCTAGTGTAGGAACTGAAAAATACATGGAGGCGCTAAAATGTCGAGCCATCCCATGCAATGTTGTAAATGTTTGTTGATATATGCAAATGCTTTTGCTTTCAAAATTAATACTAGAATGTAGAACAGATCAACTTGATCTCATTTACTGCATGACTTGCCTTCGACACATGGACAGCTGAACAATCTAAAATTGTCTTTGCCAGTTTGTAAAGGAGAGTTGCCAAAGCCCAGTAATGGATGTTCCAGACAATGCATAGTGATATGTGATGAGGTCATATTTTAAGATGCACTTTGAATCAACCATGTAAGAGTTTCTTCTCCGGAAATCACTTATGTGTCTGTCATCTAAATAGAATCAAATTGCCACTTTGCAGTTGAAGTGTATTTTTATTTTTTCAGAAAGTAAAAATCTATATAAATTTGGGTTACATATTTTTGACACTCTTACCCCATTAAAAATATATTAATCATGCCATTTCCAGTGAAAAAAAAAATACTCCAAAATTTTACATCAGTCAGTCAACATCCTCAGTACCTCCATGGTTCAGACCCTACCCCTCAGGATATTTTTTTCTCCCTAGAGGAAAAATCTCTGCTGTGTCATTTTGTTGGATCGCTGCTGTATCACACCCTGTGTGATGTATCAGAAGCCTCGCTCTGTGCCAGGGCTGCCTAAGCTAATTAAGTCAGTCTTGTCAGCAGAGGCTTTGCAAATAGGACTATGCATAACTTAAAGCAAACCTGGCATATGCGTCTAACACTACTAATTTACTTTCTGTATTAAAGTTTGGAACATGATAAACTGTGATCTGAACAAAATATTTGACTTGCTATCAAAGGAGTTGGCAACTGCCATGCTGAACTTATGCTACACTTACAGAACCTCCACAGGGAAGGCATTGTTCTGCTTCATGATCAAGGGAATTTTCCTCTTTGCCTTCCAGCTTTCGGGAATTGCTTCCCTGTTTCCCCCTACATCCGACTGTCTATTCAAGATGTATCTTGCGGATTGTTTCCCGCCTCCCTCTCGGTGGCCCTTCTTGGCGCTTCCCTGTTCGCGTGACGTTGCGGGAGTGCAGGGCTCTTTGATGTTCTCTCCAGCATGTGGTTGGCCTCTACAAGCCCACTCCGCCTGCTGTCCTTTGCCTCGGACACCTTGGGCAAGCTTGCCTCCATCTGTGCATAATCCCCCGGTTGACGTGTTGGCTTGGCACTGATCCTCTTCGAGGCATTGCTCTCTCCTCAGCCTCGGTCGCCTTCTCTCTACCTCGAACTGCAGGGTACTTGGGTTCTTGCATGACACCTCGCCGTTGCATGCGGCCTGATCCTTGATTCTGGCGGCAGGTAAAGGAGGGGCAGGCTTACCGAGGAGGGACACTGGCATCCCTTGACGTGTGATGTCTCGCAATTGCCTCTCTCCGTTCTTCTCCACGGGGTTAGAGCGTGTCAGTTGTGGTCTATGGGATTTCTGTTGTGCTTGAATCACCACTGGCATGGTTGAAGCAGAAGGACCCACGACTGCTTTCACAATCTTCTGCTTCATAATCGGTTTTGGCTTCCTCGTGATGTTCCCCTTCACCATCATGTCGAACTTACAGTTGGCAAGTTTGGCGTCTTGTTGGATCACGTGAAGTTTTTTCCTCTGCGCCTCTCTTACCTCCTCTGGGAGGTCCAGAGGGGTGAGCTTGAGGGGCCGCATTGGGGGCTGGTCCTCAGGCAGCCTCTCCAAGTCATGCCTGGGAGGCTTAAGCACTAGTGAGCCCAGCTGTGCCATGCCCTCCTGGGTCGGTGAGGATGCCATAAGCTGACCCTGTGACTCTTGTCCATGTGTGCCTGACATATGGAGGCCAGGTGTATTCGAGTTGAGCCTGTTTTTAGTTGCCCGTTTGATGCTCTGACCAGTCAAATGCAACATGGCATTTTCATCATGGGTGGTTAACATTTCCTCTTGTTGCGCAGTTTCCTAAACGAATGAGACATTGTGGACTCAAATTAGACCTTAAGTGGAAAATATTCCATTGCTTTGTACTTGTGACAGTGCAATGACAATAGTTGAATTCTATTCTAAAATACAATTTGATTTTATCAACTGTAAGAGGATCAGTTTATACAGAACATAAAGTTATAAATCTTTACACTGGGTGGGGTAATTGATTTTTATTTTCCCTGGAATCAGAAATTAGCAACAGACAGTGCACCACTAGTAATATTCCTGGGTCAAACACATACTGAGAACACAATGTGTAATGCATTTCACTCAGAGTTGCATATAACAATAAAGTTTGATTTTATAAACTTTTAGTCTGGTTTATCTTTCCGTCGGTTGGTTACTTAACGCTTTAGATGTAAATCTCTTTGTACGTTTTACATGGTGTGGGGTTGCATCCTCTCCAACCACCAAATAACTAATGAATGAACAGGTCACAGTGAATGAAGACAATAAGAAAGTTATCTATTGTTGGGAAGATATTGAGTCATTTAAAAAAATATACATATACTTTAAGCGATTTCCATCCAGAGCCAATTCAGACATGTTCCTTCAAAGTTTCTGTCTTTTTTAATAAAGATATAATTTTAAAAAATCTTAAAACATATCTCTGCATTTGAACCATAAGATTTTATTTGACAGACTTTGACTGTTTTGGGTCTGTAACAACAACCTTACTGTATCAAATGTATGTCACAGATTCACATGTTTCTATCAAGAATAACTGAAAATTTGAAGACGGGAGTTGTTTGGTGATGACAGAAACCCCGTTCTCTGATTCTGTGTTTGCTTTAGCATGTGGTAAAAACAAACAAACAAACAAAAACAACTGTATTTTGCATATTCTTTTCATAAGAGACATGAGTTACATATTAGATTTTGTAGTAGATACTACTCACTTTTTCTCCCTACAGAAAAACACAAAAATAATCCCTTAAGTATTAAACATAAAATATGCAACCGACTGTATTTGTAGTAAAAAAAAAAAACACTATTGAAGGTAGATTTGCTGTATTAGATATAATGAAAACAAAATTCACCCAGAGCTAAAAATAAATAATTCTCCAAAGTTGATAGAATCTGTTGCAAATGACAATAATAATAATAATAATAATAATAATAATAATAATAATAATAATTTTGTTTACATCCATAAACTTTACTCAGTCATTGCTGACTGATTCACTTCCCCAAATATCAGTGATTAGCATAGCCGGTTTGATTCGACTCCAGATCCCTGAAGCCACTACTTTCATATCTATGTAAGTCAATATCTTTTCCACTCAGAACATAATGATGCTGTGACTGTTCCAGGGCAGCTAGTAATGCTAAGAGCTTAACCAAACTGTTTAAGTAAAACAGTTTAACCAAACTGTTTAAGTAAAACAGTTTAACCAAACTGTTTAAGTAAAACAGTTTAACCAAACTGTTTAAGTAAAACAGTTTAACCAAACTGTTTAAGTAAAACAGTTTAACCAAACTGTTTAAGTAAAACAGTTTAACCAAACTATGTACTCACGGATTTGATGCGAAGGTCATGTCTGAAGTGTTGCTGAATCATGTCTTCTCTGGCCTCAGTAACACTGTTCCTGCTGCTGCTGCTCTCCCTCTGTTTGCTTGGCGCGTGCCGTGAGCAGCGCGGTTTAGCGCCCTTAATGTAATTACGCAGATTAGGGTCACGCGGCGGCTCTGTGATTTCCAGCTGAGCACCAGGCGGGTCGCGCGCTCGGGCCGAGGCCTTTTGTCTCGGGGAGTTTTCATTTACCCGCAGTGGAACCGGAGACTAATAGGAATGAACTGTTTAAATGAATGACAGCGAATTTACCAAGATTTGCGTCCATGTTTTTTGGTGCTTCATTGGCCACTAGATGGCGCCAGAGGTTTCCTCTGCGCGCTTCCTGCTCGCCAGCGGTGGGGTTGTGTGTGACCTCATCGTCACTTCGCATGTAACAGCCAGCGGTGGTGGAGCTGAAGGAGAACAGCAACGCCCTGGTGTGTGTGTGTGTGTGTGTGTGTGTGTGTGTGTGTGTGTGTGTGTGTGTGTGTGTGTGTGTGTGTGTGTGTGTGTGTGTGTGTGTGTGTGTGTGTGTGTGTGTGTGTTTAAAAGCTCGACTGTGAGATTTATTTCAGGGTATTAGTATACCTTAGAAGAAAAGGTTCATTTCAACCAGCATTTGGTGATGGTTCAAGCATTTAATTGAAATTCCTGATACTGACAATAAAAATGTATATTTATATAGATATGTATATATATCTTTACGTCCTTAGTGAAGCCGTGCTGTCCCGGGGAGGCAGCCAATTGTTACAAATTCCCTCCGCAGCTAGGCAACGAGCTTGAAACGTACCACCAGTCTCTCTTTCTCAGGAGGGGGTTTGATCCACCAATACATAAAAAAATTATCCACCTAAATAATTTCGGTTCTTGGTAACTTTACATGTTCAGAAGAACCCGACTTGTCCTCAGCCCCATGGTCCTAATGTGCTTCTACTTTATTTACTATTAGTTGTCCCTTAAAAAAGTTGAGCAGGCGTCCAATGCTTCCAGCTTCAATAAGGAATACTAACTTATGTGTGTTGCACAAGGCTCCAGTGTACTTTATCCCACCTCTGGATGTCAGATTACTTCCTGTATTTTAAATGGGTCAGGGGGTCGGGTTGGCAGAGTCTGCTAAAGTTTGTTGTTGTTTCACCAATGCTGTCTTACATTTCAGCTTTTCTGGGTGTAAATATTCGGCACTGCAAGTAAAACCTACCACTGCACCATAATCAAAGCAGAAAAACAAAGCTAAGCTGTCCATTTAGGCTCTGCAGACACATATGTTTGCCATATGGGTGTTTAGCCTCCTTTTCTTATGTCACAGTCTATAACTAACGTAGGCATCAGAAGGCATCGAAGTCCAGAGAATCTCACAAACACAGTAAACGAATGACAGGCTTGCCTTAAAAATATGAGCATGGAAAAAATGATATTTACTTGTCATTTACTGTGACAATAGACTGTTTTACATTAGTAATTACAATTATAAAATTGTAAACATTTTTAGCTATTTTCGTTTTTCTTTCACAATCCTCTGTGTATTAATCTGCGAGGCACTTTCAATTATTTAAACATTTTTGTACTGGGTGGTAGGTTTGCATTGCAAAAAGTATAAAGGAAAGCATCACGTTTGTTAGCACTTCACCGCGCTGTAGGGTTTCTATAACCATGAAATTTCAATTGTATTAATGTCCTTTTATCGTTCCACTGATCTTAATTGCATGATTTGATAATGGGACAAATTGTTCCAAATTATACTTGAAATCTAAAAAGAACTTCAAACTATATAACAGTCAATGTGAAACAACTGCCAATATGATTATATATAAATATATATATATTAATGTTTGTTTTTTTTACATTACAATGTCAAACAGAATGAATCTGTGAAGTTAATTCAAGAGACCCTGAACTTCTTTTCCTTTTGATATACTGACACATTTTGTCACTTAAAATTCATACTTTACAATAGATTTAGTTGATAACTACACCATGTTAAAAATTATATGGGTATTTGACTCCTGCAATTATGTTTTAGGTAGTCACTGATGAATAATTGGCCTGAAAAAAAAAGTATTTTATTAATTTTTTAAATTATTTAATTAGTTGCAAAAATTTGCATTAATAAATGAGCATGGTAAAACAACAGCCACAATGTTATTCTTTAGAAAGGGAACTCAAACAAACACCTGCATACAGAGAGGGAGATATTCATTTGATCCGCTGCCAATCTTTGAAAGTTTCTACAAACAAATGAACAGCTGATTTTGAACATGTTATTGCAAAGAGACAGAATATCTAGCAAGAATCCAGAAAAGATGAGTTAGATGAAGCTTAAAAAGCATTTACGTGCATATCAGTAAGTGAAATAAGCAAAAAATGACTTCGAAATCGGTATTTTATTGCATAAAATAAAATAAATGGTTAAAAGAATTTTTTTGATGCGATAACTCGATTAATCATCAGAATAATCAGTATTATTTCTAACATAATTATAAGCTGCAGCCTTAATTCCTTTGGCTGATATTTTCAATGTATGTGATTTTAAGGATGCATCATCTTAAACAGAAAATATTATCTAAAAAAAATATTTAACTATATACATCATGTATACACCTTTACATCAAGGTCACTTCCTGCCTGTTTTTAAATCCTAAAAAGTTTTTTTCTTCAGAAATCTTTTTATTTTCATTGTTAAATTTTTTTCCCACTTGTTTCTACGGCCAAATCTGAGCTAAAACAAAACGGATTTATTCACTACAGATCAAACAAAAAAGTTGTATTTATTCCGCTTTATTCAAAATAGTTTGTTTTGGAGATGTGCCAAATCGATATTTACATCTGTATTGGCCCCAATACTGAGAAAAAAATCCTAATCCATAAAAGCAGATCTATTCAGACTAATTCTATAATCGTTCTTTATTTATTCTTCATCATATTTAGAATAATTAGACTTTTTGAACCATTTCAGAGAAATTTTGTTGCATTTTATTTTGAAATTGTTTTAGTTTCAGTTTTCCGATCTTTAGACAGAAAAGACAACTTCTAAATTAAAAAAAAAAAATTCTACTTATGATTGGAAAGTAAATCAATAGCAATATCAATAGATCAGGATGCCCAACATTTATTACATTTTCAGCGGTGTGGTTCACTTTCACACTGCACTGTGTCAAAATAAAAGCAGATGAGTAATTAAAGTGTAGATATATTGCTTGCTAAATATTGTAAATGTTTAATATATGTCAATTTATTGCATGTAAATATTTATAATGTGACTTGAGCTCAGAGTGCGAAGCTCCAATTAGTTTACCATAGGATTGCGTTTAAAAATATCAGTGGATAAATGGCTTAAGGCTGTTAATGCCACAGCAGGTTTGGAAAACCACAAATGCAATAATTAAATCATATAGAAATCTATTCTTAAATGAATAAAATATTATTTATTTTTAAATTATTCAGTCATTATTTCAGCTTGAGTTTTCCAGAACTGATATCGTTTCCATAGCGATGACCAAGGCAATTCCTTGCCCTTGAAGTCCAGTGAGGTCACTGATGATGTCATCAATGACAAAGAAATTCTCAAGTAGGAATCTCAGTGCTTCAGTCAGGATTCAGACAGCTTTCAGCGAAGAAGATTTGCGAAGAATTTGTGAAGATGTCTAGTTTGAATGCACTCGTACCTTTGTTTATTCCACTGGGTTGGGGCTTGGGATACGCCGTTACCACCGGCATGAAAAAGTTATTAGATTATTGCCTTCCTGAGGAGGACGAAGGAGGTTGTCAGGACTTGCCGGATTCTAAGGACTCGCGGGACTTTGAGGATTTTCAGGAGGAACAAACCAGCCCGGCTGGGGAGGTTTGTTCCAAACCAGCGGACATCTTAGGGACTGTAGAACTAGACCCGATCGTGACCCTACCAGAGAGTACCGCAGACAATGGTACTGTCTCCAGACAAACTGACCCGGCTGGGCAGGAGTGTGAGACAGCAGACGGAGACCTGACGACAGGAGACAGTACCGAGTTTGACGGTACTAAATTTGAGCAAACCAACCCGGCTGGGGAGGTTTGCTCAAAGTATTTTGCGTGCCAGAGACGAGCCGCAGAAGCATCTGCCCCGGCTGAGGAAGATGTATCTGCGGCCGACCTTGCAGCCAAGGCTTTTGCTGAATTCACAGCAGAAGCCTTGGCTTCAGTGGTCCCAGCTCTTAGGTCATCAACGAGGTCTCTGAAAGGCACCATTACCAGTGCCTTTGAGGTACCAAGTTCCCCAGTCTGGGAACTTGGTACCTCAGAGGCAAAAAAGAGGTCTTTAAATGGTAGGGTCACGATTTCTTTCGAAATTAACTGTTTACCGGAGGAGGATCATAATTCGGAAGAGAGGGTCGGCTTAGAAATGACAGATGGAGGGAAGACAGAGGCTGCAGGATCCGGACAAGCGGGCATGGAACGCTACTGTCAGTTCTCCAATGAACTGAACAGTAGCTGGATGAATGCCACTTTCCAGAGCCTCCTGAACCTGGGTGTCACCAGACGGTGTCTTGCCCGGGAACGGGTGTTTCTGGAGGCTTCATCCATTCCGTGCTGCGCAAGTCTAATCCTTGCAGCCGTCCGCCATCCGGGCAGACATTTTACAGCAACAGACCTCTCCCCAGCTCTGGTAGAGCTGATGGAGAGAAATCTGTTTTTGGACATGTGTAGGGATTACGCTGTAAAATGTTTGCTGGAGTCCTTGTTAATATGGTTGGACTCACTTGGTGGGGAGACAGACAGAGACTTGTACTGCTCCAACAATTGCTCTGTCTGTCAAACCAGCTGCCTGGAGCTCCTGAGCGATGGCCCCGTGGTTGCCCTGCCAGCGGCAACTTTTCCAACTGATTTAGTCACTCTTTTTGACGATTGGTTGGCATTGGGAGGCAGGCGCCATTGCTCAGGCTGCAAGTCTGCCTTGGAGAAGAAGCACCAGTTGGCGGGTAACAACGTTCTGGTGTTTTTTCTCCCGAGGCGGACCAGGATCCATCCAGTGACGGCCAACCAGACTATGGATGTGCCCGCACAGTCTGCCTGCGGGACGGAGCGGTTCTGTCTGTCCTCTGTGATCTGTCAGGGTCCATTGTCGACCCAGTTTTATACGTATTTGATGGGAGAACATCAAATTCTGAAGGCAGAAAATGATCATGTCTTCTCTGCAGATGACCTCTGCAGTGAAGACATGAATCAAACGGAGTTTTGTACGTATACGAAAAGGTAAGGAGACATCAGCTAGTCACTGATGTCTCAAGTTCTCCAGCCCCTCCTCTCCAAGGCGACCAAGGCGCGTTTGGAGAGGAGCCAAACTTAACTGATTTGGATTATGAGGAAATTCCAAAAGATACAATTAGTGACCATTTGGAGGCTGGAGAAATCTGACCGGGTCTTATCTAAATTTATGAACTAAAAAGATTAGACAGGTTTCCTGTTTGCAGGTTTCTCTCCGGGCGCTCCGGCTTCCTGCCACAGTCTGACATTACGACTGTTAGTTAATTTGGCTCTAAATTCTGTCTAGTGTGATTAAAACATTTATTTTCTGCCTTCATGGTTTGCATGTTCTCCAATCAGTGGATCCTCTCCGGTTCGGTCCCAAAAGATGACCGTTGGTTTACTTGGCTTTTCCAGTTGACCTTTTCCCCAAGTCTTGTCCCCTCTCGTTTGCTTAAAGTAGTTTTGGCAACTAGGATTTTGACTTAAATCAAACTTCTCTTTCAAATGTGTGCCAAGTTTCATAATTCTTGGATAAATCGTGGCTTGTGGATGATTTTTAAGGATATTCTTGGGTGTGTTGTGGAGGAATTGGGCCACACACACCAAATATTGGACCACATTCCTGTCAGGGGGAGGACAAGGATCGATTTCAGTGAGTTTGATGCAGCGCGGTTGAAACATGAGTGATAGGTTTG